TCTCTTTTCAGGCAGATATAGTTGCTCTGCTATCACCAGAGTGTGGGTCTGAGGGCCCCCCACCCTCTCAATTTGGCCCATAGTCCCAAATCCTGCCTTCCTCTGGCCCCTGCACCTTTGATTCTAGGAGAACATGGAGCCCAATCTTTTTAAGGCTTAATAATATTCCACTGGACGGATGGATGCCATTTTGTTTGTCCGTTCATCTGTTGACTGACATTTGGGTTGCTTCCAACTTTTGGCTATTTTGTGAATAATGCTGCTATGAACATGGGTGTGCAGATATCTGTTTGAGTTTCTACTTTCATTTCTTTTGTGTATCTGCCCATGTGGTAATTCTATGTTTTGCTTTTTTTTAAAAAAATATATTTATTTGACAGAGGGAGAGACAGCGAGAGAGGGAACACAAGCAGGAGGAGTGGGAGAGGGAGAAGCAGGCTTCCCGCTGAGCAGGGAGCCCAATTCGGGGCTTGATCCCAGGACCCTGGGATCTCAACCCGAGCTGAAGGAAGCCACTTAACGACTGAGCCACCCAGGTGCCCCTCTATGTTTAGCTTTTTGACTAACTGCCATTATTATTTTTTGCAGCGGCTGCACCGTTTTCTATTCCTACAAGCAGTGCACAAGGGTTCCAAGTTCTCCACATCTTCGCCAACACTTATTTTCCTTTTTCTTTTTTTTTTTTTAAATCCTAGCCATCCTAATGGCTGTGTGGTGATACCTCTTTGTAGTTTTGATTTGCATTTTCCTAATGAATAGTGATGTTGAACATGGGTCAAAAGGTTTCCATCAGAAGGTATCCACCTTCTGGGAAGTCAGCAAACTCGGCAGAAGAGATATGGTAAGTGTGTGTGGGTCAGGACTGGTGGGGAGGCCATTGAAATCACATTGCCTGGTGCAGTGGATCAGCTGGCTGGACAGAGCCCCCCCCCCCCATACTCCTCACACAGGTACGCAACAGACGACCCATGCAAGGAAGGGCAGAGATGGTGCTTCACTATGGCGGTGTTGGCTGAGTTCTTGACCTAGCTTGCTGGCACTTTCCATCTTGATCAGCAGGGAAGAATGGGCTGCTGAAAGCACAGGAATGCCAAGTGAGACTGACCATGTCATCTAGAGTTTGTAAATGTGAAAGAAGAGCACACCAGCCTAAAATTTTCCAAATTCAGAGGAAAATATAGGACTGAGCATGGAAGACAGGATGGCAGGCACCCACAATATCACTCAACACATTATGATGAAGGGGGACGAGAGGGCTCTAAAGAGAGCAAGGCGCACTTCTAAGCTTGGGAAGGATGGGAACGGGAGATGGAGGTCAGGGCTGGGACCCAGGAAGAGAACCAATTGCATGGAAGGGCTGGAAAATGGTGTCAGTGTGGCAGTGCCCAGAATACGCTGAGTTGGAGAACAGTGCGGGAACAGTGAGGGGACTTAAAAAACGAAACTGCAGTTGGATGAATGATGAGCACAGCCAAGACTGGCTTTGCTTAGGGATGGTGATGTGCGTGGCTCCTCAGTCCCCCATTATCTCCTCGTGTGCTGGGAACTCTGGCTCAACCGCCTTGGAAGGGAGCCCTCGTTCCTGTCTTCTGAGATCAGTCCGTAGGCTCCTTTCAGAGCTCCAGGGAACGCCTGCGTCTGGCTCTGGCAGGGCTGGTGGCTGCGCTGGACAGTTCCAGGACCTGGCTATACCTTTGCCCGTCCACAGCTTTCCACCTGGAGAAGGAGTGCCCGCCCATGGGCAAACCCAGATGGGCCCTTCCTCCTCATATGCCTCCACTGAAGTGACCCCACTGGCGGGAACGCTGGGCCCGGGCAGCGCCGGGTCATTTGCGTGGGAACTCTGCTTAGGATGGTGTTTATGAATCTGGGTGTCCCTGAGTCCCCCAGGGAGCTCTTCTATTTACAGCTGTCCTTTTCCCACACTTGGAGAGGTGATGAGGTGAGCAGGAATTGCAGCCGGGGCTGTCTTGTCATCAAGTGCACAGGTGTTTGGAAAGCCAAGGAAGGCTTGGGCTTCCTGTCTGAGAGCCAGCAGGTGAAGGAGAGAACCCCTAGAATCAGCTGCAGTTCTGCATCTATACGGAGTCCAGCGGAAGGAGGAGCCCTCTGCTCAGATGGCCCTGCTGGGGTGACACTAAGGACACATAAGCAGGTGGTGACAGGCTCTGATGACATGGCCCGGAGCTCTCTCTGCTTACCTTGGACTTTATATCTGAGTGATATAGAAGGTTCACATAAGACAATCGTGTGTAACATCACAGTGTTATCTGGGCCAAAATGCTTCCCACCTGCATAGAATTTACGTTTTGCCTAGAGCTCCTCTTTCAATTGCAAATGTTTCATTCATATATTTCACTCCTGAGGCCATGCCCTGTTTAGACTTTGGACCCATGACATTGTCATACTGGAACCCCATGTGCAGCCTGGGATCTCAGAGATGTAGTTAGGACACGTTGGACATTGAACCCATCCCTGTCTTAGGAAAGGGGTCATAGCTTCTCTGGCACGTTTCCAGTGATGGGGAGCTTAGTGCTCCCCAGGCCGTGCTAGCCACCTGGACACGGTGATGCCGTCTCCTGTAGGAAGCCCCTTTTCTGCCTGGGCTGAGCTAGATGCCCCTCAGACCACTTTATTAAATTACTTACCACACAGGACTATCACTGTCTTTCTTCTCTGTTAGATTTTAATTCTTTGGGTGTGGAGACCAGATCTAATTATCATAGTATATCTTTAGAGTCCAGTGAAGTGCCTGGCACAGGACGGGAACTCTGAAAATGTTTGTGATAGGAGGACACGAGGAAAATAGAGAGATAGGAAAAAGGAGAGAAAGGGAGGCAAAGAGGGAAAGAAGGAGGAAGGGAGGAAGGAAAGAGAACATTATTTGCAAATGAGTTGGTCTTCATTGATTCTATCCCCCGGAAGCACTACCTGCTTCCTAGGAACATAGGAACCTTGCTGTAAGTGATGGAGGCCTTCCTCTGGCTGACCTGCTGGGGAGCCAGGTGTCCCAGGAATCACTGCTCTCTGAGTGGATGCTGCATCCTGCCAGATGCCCTGTTCCTCTTGTGCATTCACAAGGAAGTTGACCTTGATCTCCAAATATCTACCTTGATGCTTTTAGCTTGATCAATAGCTTTGCTTATATTGTTTCTGAGACAGAAGATGACTGCTTCCCCATACGTAAGCTCCCCTTAAAGGAAGTATATTATTCCTCGTGGGGACATCGTTACTATTACTATGTTTTTTTTGTTTGTTTGTTTTGTTTTGTTTTTTAACCGAAGGTTTCTATTTTTGTTAGGCAGTTCTTTTCCTGGGCCCTGAGAATTTTAAAATGAGCTATCCATTTTCCTATCTGAGTAAGATGAAAGCAGGTGAGAGGATGCTTAGCCACGGTGGCAAGAGCCAAGATCACAGATTGTTCTTCCCACTGGCACCCCAATGCATGACTCGTGGGAACCAGACTTCTCAGACAGCAGCCAGACTGTGTTCCTGGCCAATCATCTGGTTGTCTCACCATGGCATCGAGACAGGGGATTTGTGGAGTATTTTCACAATGAAATTAAGGTGTGGCTGTACTTGTTGGGAAAACAAACAGGTAAAAAATCCTGAATCCAAATCGTGGCCAAGAATAAGAGCTCTTATACTGGTGTGAGCCTGGGACTTGGTGAGTTCTGTGCCTTCCCATCTTTCCAGCCTGGAAACAGCATCTTTGCCAAAGGAACAAGGATGATGCAGTTTGTGGGGTCCCTGGGGACGTGGACAGCACAGTCCTGACAGCTGCCTCAACAGCTGCCCTTTCTAAACAAGGAGGGAGATGTGTTTGCCCCTGTCTTTCCCATAGCACAAGAATTAAGTTGCTTCAGCAGATGCCCTGGGTAGAAGCCCATGAAACCTGCCTGCTTTCTTTCCTAGCACGGTTGCCCACAGTGTGCATGTGCTCACAGACTCCTCTGTTCTCAGAGGTCAGAGATGGTTATTGCATTTTGCTGCCTTGACCTGAATCAGATACTTCCCTCCACATCCCCAGAGGCCTGGGAGTTGGGACAATACACTTTCCTTTTGAGCACAGGGCATAGGTTAACAGTCATGAAATTGGGACACCGAGGGCCTGACTCAGTTCCCTGGGCCAGCCGTGATGGTGAGCTTGGGTCTCCCTCCTCTTTGTCCCCCGACACGGGTGGACAGCCTGGCCCCGCGAACTCAGGGGCAGTGTTGAGGGCTCCAGGAGGAGCGCCAGGATGGCAGCAGGTGCCGAGGCCGCTCTGTTCAGAGCGATGCCCCTGCGTGGCCGGCGGTGACGGAAGGTGATGGAAGGCCTGGACAGCACAAGGCACTTTACTCACCAGGGGAGACCTGCCACTGCCCAGATGGAAGACCAGTCCAGGACAGAACCACATCTGCAAGCTTGTTTCACTTTTTAAAAGGTAGCCTTTTCTTTATCAGAAAATAGCCTTCAGAGGAAAGCTTCCTCAGTAAAGAAAACCCACTCTATCCAAAGAAACATTTCTGCAGGGTTGCCTTGGGGCAGTCCTTAGCCATTTCTGCCTGCAGTGAGCTGAAAATGGTTACTGCACGGGAGGGAGGGTAGAGGCACTTCTCTGTGCCCTGCTGGACCTGGAGGGGCTGGGCCGGGTGGTCTGCTCGCCGGGCAGGGCTGCGCTCAGTGCAGTGCAGCGTTTCTGGGAGATTGGGAGTTGGCTCACTGCATGAGCCGGCCCTTGAGAAGAAGTAGGTGCGGTGCCCGAGCAGAGCAGCCATTAGGAATCAGGCTGGACTCACCCCAGTCGCATGGCCAGGGGAGGACAGGCAGTAAGGGAGGGGAGAAGGAAGGGGGAAAGGGAGCAGATCCAGGATCCGGGAAGGGGCTTGGGAGGGACCCGGTCATGCAAAAGTGCCCTCCCAGGGAGGAGAGCCCCAGGAAGCCCTTCAGGTCGGGTTTTCTCAGAATCCCCACTTCCTTTGAGACTTTAGGGATCCCACATGGCTAAGTATGTGTTGATGTGTGTGTGTGTGTGTGTGTGTGTGAGTGATTGATTGGTGGAAAGGGGAAGTAAGTTCTTCTGGGTTTATTTGAGGGGGGTTAGTCTGCTGTAATTCTCAAGAAATGCCTTCTGTGGCAAAGTCCTCTAGGTCGTCGGTAGAGATAATGCCCAGGCGCGGAGCATCTCCCGCCTCCACCCCTGGGCACCGGGGAGGTGCTGGCTGCATGCTCTGGGACCCAGGGCCGGCCGCCTCGGGGGTGTGCGGGCCCTGCCTGAAGAAGGTGGGGGCAGAGAGCTGAGACGAGCAGCGCAGTGGCATCAAGGGCAGGGGCCGGAAGTGGGGGTACAGCATGTAGGGAGAATCAGGTGTGTTTGGCGGGGGCTGCTCGGGGGAACCCCCCTCAGAGGATGGGATGGGGACCTTGACATATTTGCCTGTCTCTGGGTCATAGAAGGTCTTGATTTTCACCTGGAGTGGCAGATCGAAGACAAAGTACTCTCCAGATTGGGGGTCTTGGAGGACCTTCTGGGTGGCAGGGTAAGGGGCCAGAGGCATACGGGACTGGGATCCCGTAGGCAGCCTCCTGAGTGGCTCTAAAGCAGACACTGAGTGGCGGTGGATGGGATGGGGCAGGGAACGGACCTCGGGGAACCTGTATCGGGGCCTCTCTCCGGGGGATGGTGGCCTATGCTCCCAGTCCTCCAGGAAGGGCTTTTCTTCTCCAGGTTCACCATGCTTTTCTTGCAGTTGGTCGGTCTTTCTCCTCTTGCTTGCCAGCTTTTTGGCCCGCCGCAGGGCCTTCTCTGTTTTGGGTGGGACTGCCGGGGGCTTGCCGGCTGCCCTCTCCTGCTGAGCAGGAGGCTCTGGTTTCTCAGGGAGGCCTGCTGAGTTGGTGGCCATGTCCAGCACCGAACCTCTTGGAGAAAGTGTCCTGAGGTCTTCGGTGGATGGCTCAAGTTGGGGATCTGAGCCGGCCTCCCATGTGAGGGCGTGTGTCAGGTCCTCCCTACGGGCGACCCTGGTTGGGTAGAGGCTGGCCCAGGGGCTGGGGTGATGAGGCTCCCCTGGCAGCAGGCCCTGCTCAGTGGGGGCCTGGGAGGCATCGTCCCAGGTGCTGCTGGTGGCCGGGGAGCACGCGCTGCTCTCGTCCAGGGAGCTGGCATTAGGGGAAATTGCCATCTCCCCGGGGACCAGTCTTCTCCCTGGTGGCCCTGCTCTGGGTGTGGACAATAAGTGACTTTTGAAATCTTGTGTGTGCTCTTCCCAACACGTTCCCAGCTGCCGTGGGGGTGGCTGGTCTTCTGGGTCGCCTTGGGGCAAAGCGATGGTGGGGATGCACCTTGGAGCATCCAGCTTCCCCTGGTCCATGGAACTGTTCTTGGTTTCATTTGCCACAACGTGACATGCAGTCTCTGAGGGTGGCTTCAGCCCTTCGCCCTCTCCCATGAGTGGAGGAGACGGGATGTTTCTTGTTGGGACTGGCTGGGAAGTCTCCGTCCGGGCCATGCCAAGCACCTGTCCGTGGTCCTCCGTGCCCTCCCAGGCTGTGTGCTTCAAGTGTGTGTCCTGCATGCTAGCGGGGGTCGGGGTGTTGGCCATTTCCTGGCTCTCGGGGCCATCAAGACCAGCCTCTTCTCCCCAACTTGGCTTTGGCAAGTTGTCTTCTTTGTGGCTGCTGCCCAGAGGGTCCGCTGATGACATGGTCCTCAGGAGGGGCAGCATGATGGGTTTTATTACGGGGGTGGCCCTAAGGGTATTGTCTTTAATTGCAAACAATATGTGCTTGTTTGAAGTAGAAGATGGTGAGAGGGTAAGGTCTTTGGTTGTATCCTTACTTCTCCCCATCCAAGTGCCTCTGAAGTGAGCCTCCTCTCTCGATGCCTTCTTGGGTCTATATCCAGACAAACCTCCCCCTTCTCCTTGCAAGGATTCCCTCTTGCTGCGCTCCTGCATGCACGTGGGCCCATTACTCAGGGCACAGGGCTGTAGCTCCTCTTTCCCCATCGTTTTCTCCTTCTCGTCCTTCCAACTGTCTCCTGCACTTCTGTCATTCCTCCTGTCTTCCTGCTGGCTCTCGGTGAACCACGTTTTCTGCTGATCCTCAAATGAAGCAAAGGACTGGTCTGAAGAGCTGGTGCTGAACTTGGCCTTACTTTTGAAGCCTGGCATGAAATCAGATTGGCTGTCACTGTAAAACACATCTTCTTCCTCTGGAGAGAGGGGCTCTGGGGAGAATTTCTGGTTGAAGTTTGGATTCTGAAGTCCTGCGTCTCTCTCTGGTTCTGTCTCTTGAGACACGGATCTCAAGAAGCCCTTCTCGAGGCTGGGGCTCTTTGGTTTCTCTGCAGCCTTCCCTGCCTCAGGCTCTCTGCTGCAAAGCCTCAGGGACAGGTGCTTTCTAGGGCAGGGTTCCCCGGCGTCCGGACACTTGCCCGACCCGTTGGTGCCCATCTCCAGATCTCCATCGTCCTTCTCGTCACTGTTTCTGTCAGTTCCCTCCCCGTTGATGCAGAAGGGGGCTAGGGTGGTAGCTGGAGGTGAGCTAAGAGTTAGACAGTTATCTGCAGAGGCTGCACCAGGGACAGCCCTAGGGTCCTTCTGGGTACTGATGTGTGACCCAGAAGGGCCGTCAGCTAGTGTCTCCTTAGCCATCTCCTCTGGAGGGCTCTCCTCCAGCCCATTGGGAAGGATGGCACCATTGCTCACGGGTTCTTGCTTGCCTCTGGTTTTCTCCTCAAGGCCTTTCAAGAGGGGTGAGGGGCTGTATGTGCTTTTAACATGCTTCCGCACATCCTTCAGGTTGAACAGCAGGCTGGGCGCTTTGGATTTGTAGCTGTCCCGAGACTGACATTCACTGAGCTCCTTCTCTTGGTATCCATTTAGCTGCCCTGGGGGTGGTGGGGTTATCTCCCCTGGCTGGCTGTCGGATGGCTCCAGGACATGCTTGGTGGGTATGACGGGGGTCAGAAGCTTACTGATGTTAAAAGGAGGACTATAATGCTCATTGGGGTCCATGGGCAGGTCAAGAGCCTTGCTTTCTGGAAATTGTCCCTGGGGATTGTGCTTTGTATACAAGGCTGGGCCTCTTCTGGTGATCTGCTTCTTCTCTTCTGAAGCATCTGGTAGACTTTCTTTCCTTCCTTTGCCAGGCTTTGGTTTCCTCCATGGGGGCTGGGTCGGCTTCACCTGAGGGTCAGGCTGTAAGCTAGAAGCTTTTCCCTCCACAGCGAACGCCTGGGCTCCTGGATCCCTAGCTCCCCAGGGTCCAGATACGGTGAGAGCCCCTGCAGCCAGCCTGTTCACCTCCTGGCTGCAGCTGGCCCGGGCGTGGCAGGGGGAGACCCTGTGCTCAGGGGCCGGGGGCTCTCTTAACAAGGGCGCGTCGTCGTAATGCTTGGGAGCTTTGGTCTCTGGGACGGGGTCAGCGGCCTCCTTTCTCTCTGGCAGCCTCGGTTGGTGGGCGTTCCATGACTCAAAAGCACTGTTTTCGCTATGAAGAAAGGTCCCTTTGCGGGGCCACTCCTTACCTCTTCCAGGCTCACCCTTGGCTGGCTTGTGGGGCGGGGAGTGGAACTTGGACTCAAATGAGTTGGCCACGTTTTCGGGTGTCGGGAGGAAGCTGCTGGAGCCGTGACAGGCCATTTCGGGATTCTTGGGGGACTCCTGCTCTCCGTGCTTCCTGCCAGGCTGGTGGTGGCTATTCTGGTGGGCGCCAGAGACTTCAGCAGGCACCCTCCTGACCGTCAGAAAGGCAGAATCGAAGCAGAAGTGGACACCACTTTCTGGAAGAGGAGCAAATTTGGGCGGATTTTTGAGAGCCGGGGGCTTACTGGTCGGAGGCCTGCTGTCACAAGGTTGGCTCTCAGTCCTGTCAAAGGATTTAATTAGTGATGACACTTTCGAAGCAGGCTTGCTGTTGCTCCTCAGGCCGGACACGGGCACCTCCAGTCTCCTCTGGGCTGGTGTCAGCGGCGGGCTGCTCTTGGGATACTTATCTTCCCCTTGAACGTACTTGGGGAGCTGCTGGAATGTGGCCGCCCAGCCTGTGTGCTCTGTGCCTTGCGACGGTAACTGGCTCCAGATGCTGCTTTTCCTGTGGGTGTGGATCACTGTTCCCTGGGGAAAATTCCCAAACACCTGGCGGGTGATATCCGGGGACAGAGCCAGGTCGGAGTCATTGCAGGATGTGTCCTCTGAGATGCACAGGCTCCGGAAGGCCCGGTCTGTGAGGCTGCTCACCTCCCTGTCTGCATCGTCCAGCACACTGCCGATGCTCGAGGAATCACTGAACCCGTCCGTGCACTTCTTATTCCCCTGCATCATCCGCCAGCTAGGAAGACTGTCCCCGGTCAGCCAGGGGGTGCCTCTGGGGGATGATTTTGGAAGAGCAGTCCTCTTGCCGCAAAACTAGAGCTTCCTGTCGACCAGATGCAATTACAAAGTGTGATTTCTTTCTTTCTTTTTATTTTTTTTCTCTGTAAAAGAAAGGCGTGCAGGGTATGAACAGGATATCCAACTTAGTGGCTCCATGTGAGAACTACACACTGGTCCAGATGGGTGATCGTGCCAGTGATGGTTAATTTTATGTGTCAACCTGGCTGGGCCCTCGTGGCCAGTTTTTGGCCAAACATATGTAGATGTGGCTATGAAAGTATTTTTTAGATGTAATTAACGTTTAAATCAATGGATTTTGAGTAAAGCAGATTACCCACCCTCCACAATGTGGGTGGGCCGCATCTCAGAGACTGAGCTCCCCAGAGGAAGGGAGAATTCTGCCCCAGGTCCCTGGACTGGAGCTGCAACATCAACTCCCCCTGGGTGTCCAGTCTGCTCTGCAGATGTCAGACCCGCCAGCCCTCATAACTGCATGAGCCAGTTCCTTAAGATAAATCTCTTTTTATATGTATACATCCTGTTGGTTCTACTCCTCTGGAGAACCCTGCCTGATACAGTGCCTAAGGTCCAGATGTGCCATTTTTGCAGAGAGATCTCCCCTGACATTTCAGGGGCTGTCCCCTCCCCACTTTCTCTCACAGCGCCTGCTTTGTTTTCTTTCTGGTACTGAGCACGCTCTAAAATTACGTTGACTTCTTTGTTGCCTATCCCATCATGAGACCGTAAGAACCAGGAGCCACTAGGCTATCTGTCGGCTGCTTGAACTTGTCCCAGAGCCACCCCAAGAAAGCACAATCTCCAAGGGCCTGCAGCACCTGGGCTCCTTAACTCTCTGACTTGCCCTTGGGTGTGACCAGTGGGAGATGCTGGGTGGAGTCTGGAGGGAGCCAGAATCCCTGGCATTTCTTCCCCATGCCTGCTCCTGGCTGTGGTGTGGGGTCTGGGCAATGCTGCCATCCTCTCTAACTACGGCGCCTCTCTAACTAGGTCCTGGGCTCGGACTCTAACTGCTCCCCTTGCCCCCTGGGGCTGTGGGAAGGATAGCTCCTACTCTTCCTGAGTGGCTCCACTTGCTGGGGTCTCCCTAATGCTTATACCTCTCTTATAGTCCCTTCATTCGATTTTCTTCTTAAAAAAAAAAAAAAACTGTCATGAAATTGACATGAAATAAAATTTACCAACTTGACCATGGAAGTGTACAGTTCAGGAGTGTGAAGTACATTCATATTGGTGCAACCATCACCACCATCCCTCTCCAGAACTCTTACAGCATCCTGAACTGAAACTCCATACCCATTAGATATCGGCTCCACTCCGCCCACCACCCTGCCGACCCCAACCCCTGGCAGCCAGTCTGCTTTCTGTCTCTATGAACTGGATTATTCTAGGAACCTCATATGAGTGGAATCACACAGTATTTGTCTTTTTGTGACTGGCTGGTTCACTTAGCATGATGTCCTCAAGGATCATCCACTTCCATCCAATTTCCTTCCTTTTTAAGGCTGATTAATATTCCATTGTATGTTTATTCTACATTTTGTTTATCCATTTGTCTGTCAATGAACATTTAGGTTGCCTCCACTATTGGCTACTGTGAAAAATGCCGCTATGAACATGGGTATACAAATATGTGTTCAAGATTCTGCTGTGCCCAATTCTTTTGGGCATATACCTAGAGGGGGAATTGGGGGATCCTATGATAATTCCATTTTAAATTTTTTGAGGAAACTCCATACTGTTTTTCACAGTGGTTGTATCATTTTACGTTCCCACCAGCAGTGCATGGGGTTCATCTCTCCACATCTTGCCAGCACTTGTTATTTTATGTTTTTTTATTTTTTTATTTTTTTATAGTAGCCATCCTAATGGGTGTGAGGTGGCACATTGCATTTCCTTCTGGGTCCTGTCTGAGGATGCTGCTTTTGCCAGGACCCTGACCACTACTGCTGGGGTACATACTTCCACTGCTTGGAACAGACCTCACCCAGACAGAGGATAGGTCAATGAGTACATGAAAAGTTAGATAAAATAGCAAGTGTAGACCCTAGAGTGGGCCTGAGTGGTGGGCACTTGGGACAGTGAACATCTGGCAGTGTGCTTTGGGTCCTCAGCTGACAGATGACATTGTCACCCAGTGGCCCTGTTCACAGCAGCAGCAGAAGCCGGCAAGGCTGCATTCTTCCCTCCTTGCCTGGCTCCAGAGCGATAACACAGCCAAGGCTTTAGGGGATGGAAGATGTAGATGCTCCCACAGGGAGGTAGGGCCTGCACATCAGGTGTTCCATGTTCTATCCTGGCCCCGCATGGGGGATGGTGCAGGAGGTGTCCTGCCCAGGTCTGCCGCTGTTGGGCTAGCGGCGTCCTGTTTTGGTCCTGGAGGCCGGCCTTCTTTGGGGTTGTTTGTTTCCTGTGTCTTGACCAGTCTGACGGTGAGTTTCCAGTGCTGACTTGTTGGCAGGCTGACCTGGTTTTATGATGGGAGAACTGAGCTGGCTGTGATGGAGAAAGGAGGGACCCTGAGTTCTAGGAATGGGATGAGCCCACTCTGCAAAAGCCTCTACTTCCATGCTCCTCAGCCCTGCCTTGCAAATGAGGGCATCTCCCCAGAGAGCACAGTGCAGGATTTTTAGAAGGCCGAGGGCATCTGCTTCAGCTCTCAGACCCTGCTGGTGGGCCAGCTGCACTCCTTTCCCCACCGGCTTCTCCTTCCGTGTGGCCCAGCTCCGGTCACAGGGATGGAAGCATTCAGAGGTCAGGGAGAGTTCCGGCCTTTCTGATCAAGGGAGCAATCCGTTGTCTCCACTCTGTTGGTGCTATTTCTTCCTGCTTCGAATGTAGACACAAAGCCCAAGATGGAGTGTGTTTGTTTGCTAGGGCTAATGAAGTACCACAGAATGCTGGCTTACACAACAGAAATTTAGTATCTCACAGTTTTGGAGGCTGGAAGTCCCAAATCGGGTGTCAGTGGGGTTAGTTCCTTCTCTGGGCTGTGAGGGAAAGATCTGTTCCAGGTCATTCTCCTTGGCTGGTAGATGACCACCTTCTCCTGCATCTTCATATTGTTTCTCCTTTGTCTGTGCCTCTGGGTCCAAATTTCCCCTTTTTATAAGAGGACCAGTCCTATTGGATTAGAGCCCACCCTAATGATCTCCTCTTAACTGATTATATCGGCAACGACCCAATTTCAAATAAAATCACATTCTGAGGTCTGGGGGGTTAGAACTTCAACATATGAAAATTTGGGGGATGCAACTCAACTCATAACAGTAAGGCATTCACTTTGCAATCTTGAGGAACAAGCAATGACAATGAGAAGCCCGTTTGCTGAGGATGGCCTGGTGGGCAGAATGGCCCTGGGTCTTTGATGGCATCGTTGAGCTCTGAGCCTGTGCCTGAACTTCCGGTCCTGGAATTTGTGTTATTGGGGTGGGGTGGGAGACCTTAGTGGCTTTGGCCAATGTGAATCAAGTTTTCTGGATCTTGAGGTCCTACGGATACAGTCAGGGAGGCTTCTGGTGTCCTGAATGCTGGGGTCTTGATCTTGGCAATGGCTGTACTTGGTAATGGTAATACTGGGGTTTCTATACTTTCATATTTAGAAGAAAATAGGATAGTTGGAGATTTAAATTTAGAATCTTAGAGTTAAGCAAATGACCTCCAGCCAGTTAAATCCCTCCCACTTTTGGCAGATACTTGTTATCTTTTTGAACACTCAGCTTTGAACATTTGATAACGTTGGGGTAATTTCTTCTCCCCTCTGTGTTTTGTCTTGGTGGGGCTGAAAACCAAGGTGCCTGCCGAGACCTCCCTGGGCCAAGTGCAGATGTGAGACCCAGGCCAGGCCCTCTGTACTATTTCTTCTGGAATGACGCGAGGATGGAAATGTGCTTGGATGGGGCAGGGCTGTCTGCTCAGCCTTTACCAGCCTGGAACTTCAGCCTTCACCTTGAGTCTGCAAGGGCTCCAATTTCCTTTTAATACTTATCTATTTCAGTTGAATTTGTCCAGTTTCTGTTTCTTTTGTGCATGGCCAAAGAACCCTAACTGATCTGAAGTTTGTGTCATAATTCCCAACAGTAATACAAGATGTTCACCATATTAGAGTATTCAGAAAATACAGTAGTCCCCCCTTATCCACAGGGGATACATTTCAAGACCCCTAGTGGATGGCTGAAACCACAGACAGTAGTATTGATTCCTATATATACTATGTTTTACCTATGATAGAGTTCAATTTACAAATTAGACACAGTAAGAGATTACCAATACCCAATAGTAAATAGGACAACTATAACAATATACTATAATAATCGTTATGTGAATGTGGTCTCTCTCAAAATCTTACTGTACTGTACTCACCCTTCTTGTGATGATGTGAGGTGATAAAATGTCTATGTGATGAGATGACGTGGGATGAATGACGTGGGCACTGTGACGTAGGGTTAGGCTACTGTTGACTTCTGACCATACATCAGAGGGAGGCTCATGTGCTTCTGGACCGTGGTTGAGCGTTGGTAACTGAAACTGCAAAAAGCAAAACCATGGGCAAGGGGGAACTGCTCTAACCACATTTCTTCTGCCTCAGGAAAGAGACCTTTATTCAGATAGCTTCTTCAGTTCTGATTTGATTTTCCTGGGTTTGGATGGGACAGTCATAAAGTTGGCTCCACGCCTGGTCCTACCCCTAGTCTCCCAATGCCCAGTGGAGCCCTTCAGCACAGTAGTTGACAATGGAAGGTGTTTCCTTGGGTTGGTTCCATACCTGTTACAGTGGTGGGGGTTGCAGGTGCCTGCCTCGCTGGGTTTTAGTGCCTGCAGTTTTAAAACTTCTCATGTTTACATTTGCTATCATCGCTGCCCATCTAGAAAGAAGAAGAAAAATAATATCAGTGGATCCAACTGGCCAACTGGTCAAGCACACATCAGGT